CGTAAGTATTTCATCACTTAGCAAAGTATTATATATTAGTATTTAAATATTGACAATGTTCTGCGTAAGTATTTTATTACTGGACGAAGTATTACATATCAATATTTAAGTATTGAAATCAATCATAAGGTAGGATTTGTAACATTAAATATTGAAATACTTGAATACTAAAAGTTGTATTTTAATCACAGAATATTACTAAATACTGTACTTTTAATACTGAAAATAAGTAATTAATCAATGATTCTTAGTATGATATTTCTATAAGGGTACTTGACCAGTCTTGTAGACAAGCCATGTATTTAGGTAGCAAGTTGACATTTAAAAACGTCTTATGTTAGAGACATTATTAAAAAGTTATTTGATGTTACTCTGGATATAAACAAATTTCAAATATGAGTCATATGTTATTATGTATGATTATATTTAATACAATTATATATTCACATTTTCTCCCAGTTATTTATTTTATTTGTTAATAAAACTTGAATAAATTTGAATAAATTGTTAATAAACTTTGAATAAATTGTTAATAAACTTTGAATAAATTTCATAATAAACTTTGAATAAATTTAAGGTTAAATAAGTCACTTACCAAGATAAACAGATGTATGTAAATGTTGCAGTAACTTTACGGTGCGTAGAATCACGCAATGCATAAAGATTACATCCTTTATGAGCCTATCACATGTTAATTATACTATGTACAACAAATCATATAATGACGAAATGGAAATACAAAAAAAAATCTAAATTTTTACTCAAAACAATGTGTCATTTAGTTTACTGGCAAATACAGATATATTTTGATAATTAGTTTTCTTATTCAATATAAAACAACTTAATATAAAGTTTACATCGTGTCCATAAAATTGTTTCTTTTTTTAGATTTAGCATATTTTCATCATATAGACATCATGCTTTGATTATTATATACAGTGTGTCTGAGACCACCCGTACACCCCTTTTATCTCGGAAACAGAGCATTTTAGAAAAAAACGTTTCAAAGTAAAGTTATATGGTTTCGAGGTGTATATAAGATGGTGTCATTGATTTGACCTTGGTTGGCGCCACCAAGGTCAAGTCAACGTCAACTTTGCTTTTTTAAATAGAAATATGTATTTTTTATTACGGAATTTTATTTTACGTAAAGAAACAAACAGCTTTTGTTTGAAAATTTTTTTCATACGACCTCATTTTTTAAGATATTTACGGAAATATCTACAGAATTATTGGTTTCAATAAATTTTTACTCGAATTCTATTAACTTTACCGAAAAATGGCAAGAAATAAAAATTGCTTATTTTCTTCTCATCGGGCTCTAAGAATTTTTTCTGAATTTTTTATTAACTTTTTAGTACTTAAAGAAAATGCACGAAAATGTATTTGACCTTGGCGGCACCATCCAAGGTCAAATCAATGACACCATCTTATGTACACCTCGAAACCATACAACCTTTTCTTTGAAACGTTTTTTTTTAAAATGCTCTGTTTCCGAGATAAAAGGTGTGTACATGTGGTCTCTGACACCCTATATAGTTACAAGTTATTTTTTTTGTATCTAGTTACTAGCTAATTTTTCTGGTACAGTTACTAGAAGAAATGAGCGTTATGGCTCCTGCACACAGGACGCGGTAATGCTTGCCGCGCTGCGGAAGTTCGCGCGATAGCCAATCAATATGCTACTTTCCGTAATAACCTTCTAGCTCTTACGGAAAAACAACATATTGATTGGCTGTCGCGCGGACTTCTGCCGCACGGCGAGCATTACCGCGTCCTGTGTGCAGGAGCCATTACATTTCTGACTAATAGATAGTTACGATTTTTCGTCTCATGATAGTGTACTATTTTCTGTCTAGCTACTAGCTAATTTTTCTTGTACAGCCACTAGGAGAAGTGAGCTTTACATTCCTAGTTAGTACTACTAGCTAGTAGCGATGCAAGACTCAACTTTTTTATGTCATTACTAGACAATCACTACATTCAATTTTTGCTCGGGTACTTAAAGAATTCTAAAAGAAATTATAATAGTCAAAGACAATAAGATCATTAGTTAAGAAGTTACACGTCAAATGTCTGCCGCCATATAACTTTAACCTTCTAAGGACCGGCTATTTTGTTATTGACTTTTTTATTTTAAGAGCTAGAACTTTTTTGTTAATGCCATTGGATTGAATGGGGAAAAAGCTGACACCGCCGTCGCGCCGATATATCGGCTTCCGGTCCTCTAAAGGTTAATAATAATTATTGAACAATTCTAAGAATTAAATTTATTTTATTTATCAGGAGCTCTTGAATTCGCCAGAAAATATCAAATAAGCTATTTAAAATTATTCGAGCTTGACATACATTTTTTCAATTTTTTGAAAAAAACAATTTTTTTCAATCAGGAACTCTAGTATTTGTCAAAAATATTAAATGAACTATTTAAAACTATTCTATCATGATGTTGGGTATGAAGTTAACACCCCATTTTTTAATCGCTATTTTAATACTATTAATCGTCGGAAGTCTTTTAATAAACATAAAACTACTCCTATACTCTTCGAAAGGAAGCTAAAACCTTAATCAGAACTATCGAATGCTATAGTTGAGGTGTTAACTTCACACGCCCGAAATAGCACTTCGCAATTAGAATTCTTTTCTTTAGTGAACAAATACTTTGGCTAAACAAATATTATTTGGCTTTTCAAGTAATTTTATTGTTTAATAAAAATTAAACAATTGCATATAATATTCTTATTTCATTATAACATTTCTTTTTTTATCTAACCGCAGCTTCAACCACAATGATTTAACAGGAACTGTTGTAAAAGAGTTGTAAAAAGTGACAATTTTATCATCGTCATTACTCGTCGCTAATATACGCACTACATCACAAATTACTCACTTAGCGTTTCGTTGTTAATAACTGACAATTACGAACACTTACGATAAAACGCTGCATCACGTACTCTTCCTTAGATTACGCTTCAGTCGTTTGCGACGCGGTCGAATTCACGATTCATCGATTTTATTCCGTTATTAATAATTTTGTATTGTTAGTGCGACGTGTCGTAAATTTTTGTATCATGGCGGACATATTTTTCCGTGCGTTTCTACAATATATTCGTAACGGTAAGTTTTCGGTAAAAAGTATTTAAAAAAAGATGCGATAAATAATGGACGAGGCTGCGTTCACAGGACACAATATTATTATATTAAGAAAATCGTTATTATTATTTATTAATAGAAAAGCAACTTTTGGTTACGTAATAGGGAAATAAAATAGAGTAGCATAAGCATATTAGAAAGATTCGAGACATTTGCAAACCGAGCAGAACGGCTTGTTCATAGAGAAAATATTGTAGTAAAAATCATAACTCCATAAGTTCACGTAATTTTGAATTCGTAATTTTGAACCATTTAGAAATTATAACCAAAATTACAATATATTTATTTAAGAATGTTGCACGTTTGACATTTGCTACAAAATTATTGCAATTACTTTTTACATATTGTATATTTGGTAGTCAAATTTATTATTTTTATAATAATTACTGTAATTAAATACTACAATTAACTACTACAATTTTAATATGATCGGACTTTGCAAAAAACATTCTAAAATAATATATAATTTTAACGTTATTTTTAACGTTATTTTCAATATTTTCTTCAAGTACCGATGGCAGAGAATCGCGTCGATCTATAAATATTTATTAGACTCTTTAATATCGATTGACAGAAGCGTTTGTTTTTCTCATTGCAGCTGCGAGTTGGCGCAAGATGACATCCAACGAGGATGACGATCTGATCGATCTTGGGAACGATGCGTGCGTACCGCGCGTCACCGTGGATGACCCGACGCCCGAAGAACAAGAACATCTGCTCGATGTATGTCCTCCGAAATTAGAACAAAAGCTCTCGCTTACCAAGCGACAAGAGCGAGTACTCGAAGGTAGCGACAGAAGTGATATCTTAGTGACTCTGGGCCACGATCAAGTGGTGCCGATTTGCAAGAGGATCGACGTAGTCTCGTCAGACACTATCAAGCGGATTCGCGACATTACCCGAAACCTGGAGCCGGTGATACATAAAACTTGTCCGGGTATCAATGAGGAGTCGCAACAGGATATGGTGGACCACGCAACGTCCTTGAATTATGAAAAGAAGAGAAATTCGACAGTGAAGCATGAAGATGAGACGTACGAGGCTCGAGAGATAAATAATGCTTTCAACTTCCTCACCGAGCATGATGACAACGAGGATCAAGTGGGATCGAACTTTGGCCGACTGAGGAATGAGATCGATTCCAATCGTATCGTGTCCTCGATGTGCTCCTTTATCGAGGAAGACACAGTTGGTGATTTCTTTGAATCGCCGTCTAGAACTTTGAACGACGAAGCGACTGGGAACGACGCAGATGAGAAGAAATATTTCACGAAGAATGACTACGATATTCAACTGGATAATTTGGCCTTTGAATCTTCGCCTAATTCGAGTACGTTTCGCCAGGGCAGCCAAATTAACGAGAAATCCGTGTATACCGATACAGAAGTTCGCGCGACAACTAATCTCAAGAGACGTAGCCAGGAAGACGCCGCGTTCGAGCGAATAACCAAAAGGCGTTCGTTACGAGATAAATCACACCGTAAATCGTGGACAGAAGGGACGAGTTTAAACTCCGATCTTACCGATGAACTTCCCAGAATCGACAGATCTACCAGTCTGGAAGAGTATCGCTGTGTGCCATCTATTCCCAACATCAATCGTGGAATATCCGGCTTTTTCACGAGGTACGAATACTTCCGTCATTTTTCATACTTTCTTGCGAGCATCAGTTCTTTCAATATTATTCGGTCGTATGTCATTCGAAGAGGAAACGTGAGAGAAAATTATATCGTTTATTTGAGCATTAAAAATGTAAAAATGCTAAATTAGATATAGAGGAAAGTAGCCAAAAGCGACATAGGCCTCCTAAAGCGACATACTTTTATATCTCATATATTAAATGTTATATTTTATCGAAATTAATATAAACGCAATTCGTTTTATCAGTTAAGTCATGAAAAATTTATACTTATATTTTTTGTTCTTTTATGTGCTAAATTAGCAAATATCGAGTTTTAGAAATTCGCAAGTTTTGTTTCTATGATTTTCATTGACGAATTACGTAGATTAAACAGCGTTAATTATCTTTTTGTCCACAATATTAAGTTCTTCTATATGCATTTGGCTTTTGTAAAAATATTTTTATCTTCATCACTTTTTTCATCACTGTATAATTTGAAAAATTTTATGAGAATGTGTCTTAAAATAACATACTTTTACAGTATGCAATAGGTGCGATATTCTGTGACTAACATAACCTGATTCTAACCTCTTATTGTGACGTGCCTAGATAACAAAATGTTGTCACAGTGATATCATGGTGCGCGCACGCATGCCCATAATGTTACACGCATATTATCATACAGATGCGTCCTCATATGAGACTCATAATGCTCGCACATGTACGACCTCATGTGTGCGGGTCATACGCAGGTCATGTGCGGGTCATAGTTTCCACTGAGGACGTAATTTGGTTATTGTATTCTTCATCATATCGCATTCAAAACGTCGGCAAACGTCTAAATCTTCATTTAGACTGTTAAAATTTTACATTTGAAAGTGTTACACTTCTTTAGTTTTACTTTAAATGTATGTAAAAACTGACATATGTTTAAGTTTATGATTATTTCAAGATTCACTTTAACTTTGTGTTGAAATATTTTAAAAATGTTGATTTCCTACAATGAAATGTAGGAAATCAGATGTTAAAATAATTCAAGATAATGTCCCACGAGCACCGCCTTATATACCCTGTTACGTGGGTTTTTCAATTCGAGTGCTGGCATCATCACCGACGCCGCCTAGCGGTGCATGTCTGTAGCTACACTCACGGCGTGATTGTACAATGCGATTCATAGCGCTCGCACGCGTGCTCCCATCACGTAGTGCGGGCAGCGTGATGATAGCACTGTGTGCGCATGGCGTGATACTCACGGCGTGATTGTACAATGCGTTTCATAGCGCTCGCACGCGTGCCCCCATCACGTCGTGCGGGACAGCGTGATAGCACTGTGCGGACACGGTGTGAGACGCACACGTGAGGGCAATATGAGCTCGCACGAATTGTTATCTGGGTGGTATCATTGTATTGTATATGTTTAATTTTGTTTAGTTTAAAAATATAACATATGTAAAATATGTGAGAAATGAAAAATATGGAAATGCCAAAGATATGTTTTTATTTAATTATATTTGCCTTTTGTAACATTATATTTTAAATAAATGAATATTATTCAACCATTAAACGTATTAATGAACTATTTATTACCAAATATTATCATATATGCAACATGTTATATAACTTTCAATAAGTATGTCGCTTTTGGCACCCATTTTCTTTGAACTCCATTTTTGTGCATTTTACAAAAACATTTTTTAGAAACAAATTTAGAAACAATTTCAGTAAAAATGATATTAACTGATAAGGAGTACTTACAACTACATGTATATATATATTTACATTTATATTTTGAGCTTTACATTAAGACATAACCTCTAAAAACAAAGCTGTGTATCATTTTTAGTGTCTTTATATTCACGATTATCACAATGAGATTATCGATGACGGGAAATATTTATAATTCTTTTAATTACATTTATGAAGCAGATATGCTGTACTGAATTAATTATTACACTTACACCATATAGAATGTTTGATACAAAACACGCAAGACCACCACATGTGTGTTATGTGGTTGTTGATAGAGGAATTTTTTGCCTAGTTTGATCTAATTTACTCACACATGAGCACATCTTGCGTGTCTTGCCTCAGATATTGTGTATAATAATGTAGCTTTTCGTGATATTAATGCAGTAATAGTTACATATTTTGGTTTAGCGTCGTAGATTGTCTAGATTTTTCTTTTGTAGATTTGTTTCCGACGTTTTGAATATTCATCAGTTTATTTCATCAGAGAGGAGAGCAATCTCATACAATATCTGGTTATTCTTTTCCCTGATGAAGTAAACTGAAATGTTCAAAAAACGTTAGGAACAAACTCACGAAGAACTTAGCGTTAAACCGGAAACCAAAACGAGTATTTGTTTATTCCGCGGAAATTTTAAATACCAAATGCAGTAATAGATTTACTAAAAGTTACATATAGATTTCTATATTACATTTTACATGACATATTGTTTCAACTAAATCTTAATAATTTTATTATATGAATAGGGTCGAGTTCACTGATTCCAATAACTTTGCAGAATGTTGGAGTCAAAATCTTTGAGTTCTAAACATAAAATTAAAATTAGCTCATTGTTTATACAAGAGTTACTAACAAAAATTGTTAAAAATTCTTGGAAAGTTTTTATTAAAGGCTATAACTTTAACAATATATTAATATATATTTATATATTTTATATTATATTTATATATTTATATTTTATAATATATATATTTGAGGGTAACAATATACAGGGTGTCCCGCGTAAGACGGATTAAAAGAAAAATATAAGTAGAACACATAAAAGTGAACAAAAATTGTATAGGTCATTTTTCAAACAACCACGTAAAATTTCAAGATATTAATTAAAATAGTTGGACAAATTAGAACGCGCGACGCGACAGGCGGGACATACGTCTCACAGCGGTCGGCGAAGAAAATGGACGATTGCTCGCGGGCCTATCTTATAGGCCAGAGAGGACCGTTCGGGGCTATACTGAAATGGATAGCTCCGTACGTGTACGTGTACGTGTGCGCTCGGAACGTCGGGCGATGAGTAACAGAAGAAGATAGATATATGACGTTCTATCTCTTTCTCTCGTGCACGCATTATTTTTTTCACAGGGACCGTCACGGCAGCGATGCTGGGCAGAAGACGCGGCACCTACGCACACAAAGAGAAGCCAGATACATGTACGTTTAGCGCTTGAACTCAATATACATGTATAAGCGCGCATGCATGGCTGCTTCTTGTGTACGTGCACTGTTAAATCCGTAATGTCAAATTAATTTAAATCATTTTTAATTATTCCTATAAGTTGCCACTGCTCATATTAAATATGTCGTTAATTTAACTAAGATAGAGAGAGATCTCTCGCCGAACGAGAGAGAGAATGTCATTCCCTCTTTCTCGTTCCATATCGCGTGGGTACAGAGCGGCTGCGGAACGAGAAAGAGGGAATGACATTCTCTCTCTCGCTCGGCGAGAGATCTCTTTCTATCTTAGTTAAATTAACGACATATTTAATATGAGCAGTGGCAACTTATAGGAATAATTAAAAATGATTTAAATTAATTTGACATTACGGATTTAACAGTGCACGTACACAAGAAGCAGCCATGCATGCGCGCTTATACATGTATATTGAGTTCAAGCGCTAAACGTACATGTATCTGGCTTCTCTTTGTGTGCGTAGGTGCCGCGTCTTCTGCCCAGCATCGCTGCCGTGACGGTCCCTGTGAAAAAAATAATGCGTGCACGAGAGAAAGAGATAGAACGTCATATATCTATCTTCTTCTGTTACTCATCGCCCGACGTTCCGAGCGCACACGTACACGGACGCACATACGGAGCTATCCATTTCAGTATAGCCCCGAACGGTTCGCCTCTCTGGCCTATGAGATAGGCCCGCGAGCAATCGTCCATTTTCTTCGCCGACCGCTGTGAGCCGTATTTCCCGCCTGTCGCGTCGCGCGTTCTAATTTGTCCAACTATTTTAATTAATATCTTGAAATTTTACGTGGTTGTTTGAAAAATGACCTATACAATTTTTGTTCACTTTTATGTGTTCTACTTATATTTTTCTTTTGGTTCGTCTTACGCGGGACACCCTGTATATACAGGATGTCTGACTTTTACCGTACCAGAGCTAATATATAGTTAGAGTAGGTCGGGATGAATAATGAAATCGGTGTCTTTTTTAAACAACCACGTGAAATTTTGAGATATTAACAACAAAAGATTTCTACCGGCAGTCCATTGACAATCAGGACACGCGCTGCGATGAGACGAACGCTGTACGCGCTGTAGCATCGGCATGAGAGACTAACCGGTCCAACCCCCTAGCAATGAGGAAAACGCGTTGCTAGAAGCCTGGGCCGGCTAGTCTATCGTGCCAATGCTACAGCGCGTACAACGTTTGTCACACTGCAGCGCGTGTGCTGATTGGCCAGTGGGCTGCGGCACGGTAGAAATATTTCGTTGTTAATATCTCAAAATTTGACGTGGTTGTTTAAAAAAAAACTCCCATTCTATTACTCACCCCGACTTATTTTAGCTATATATTAGCTTTGGTACGGTACGAGTCAGACACCCTGTCCGGCACTAGATACTATCCGGCGCTGGGGGAACTCCCCCTCAGGTCAATCCAGTAAACGCTAGATATTCCTAGAATATTCACAGAATGTTCCACAAATCCAAAATTAACATCCCAAGAATGTCTCAAAACATTCCGGAATATTCACAGAATGTTTAAGGAAGATTCAAATAAGCGCTAAATGTTCCACTTTTTTACAAATATTGGCGAATTAGTTAAAATAAGAAACCAGTCAGTGTTTGCTGACTTTACTTGAAATTTAAGATTACTTGATTCCAAATGTTACATTACACTTAAAAATTCTCACTAACTTTGGGATTCGAACTTGGACCTGAAGTACCTTTGGATTATCAACCTATTGGTTTAGACACTACACCACTTCTTCGATCGATATAAACGTCTTATATTTTGTCTATATATGTT